CAACGTCCCCACCGGGGTCAGCCCCCTCAAAACCAGCTCGCCCATTTCCTGCCGCCCCACAGAGCCGCGGCCCCCAGCCCGGCCGGGGGACCCGCGCAGGCCCCGGGAGGGGGACGGGCCCGGGCGCCGCACTCACCATGGCCCCCGATGCCGCCATCTTGGATCCACGTGTCAGGAAACACGTCAGCGGAAGTGGCCGCTGGTTGGCTCGGGCGCTTATCGCCATGGCGACGGAGCCGGTTCCGGGGTGGGGGAATGGGTAGCGGCGCCATCTTAACAGAGGGCAGCAGGCTTCGCTCTGAGGGGCGGAGACATGTTTAGTGAGGGCAAGGCGGGGCGGACCGGAGCCCGTCCCCTGCCGCCATCTTAGCTGAGGGCATTGGGACGCTGGCTACGGCAAGACACAAAGTCCATCCACTCCATCTTTCTTGAGGGCAGCCAGCGCCCTTGCCCGGCTCTGCCACTGCCACTCTCGCCTCGGGCACGTCCCTTAGCCCTGCTGCGTGCAGGCCAGGCTTGGTGCGGGCAGCACTCAAGTGGAGGTGGAAAGGAGAGGCAGCCCCCAGCCTTCCCCTGCGGAGACAGCAGCTTTCCTGCCCCCGGGGGGGTAATTAATTCGCTTGACGGCGGAGGAGTTCATTCACTTCCCCCCCCGAAGACGCGTGCAGAGACCCGCTGCCCCCCCTTTCGTCTCCGTCTCGGGGCCTCCCCGGCGGGGGCTGCCGTCAGGATGGCGGGGGCCGCCGGGTGGGAAGACGCCGCGAGGACTCGCCGCTCTCCGGCCCGACGAGAGAAAGCGTACGCGCCGTTAAGAGAAAACCACGAGACAGGCCAGACCTTTTCAATATTTATTGCCTGAAAACCCAAGCTGGAATAGCGCACGTCATCTGCGACAGCTCTCTGTTAACGAAGTCGAGTACAACGAATGTCTGAGACAGTTCATTGGGGGCAAAGAAAAAGGAATCACACGCCTTCAAGGGCTTTAAAATCCTTGTCATCGCTTCGTCCCTCTCCAACCCCCGTCTCTTTAGAGACTTTGTGAAAGAAACGCCGGGTTTCTTGGTGTCACGGCGAGCGATCGAACTAGGCGAGGGGATGCCCAGAAAATAAGGATAAGAGGGTTTGGAAATGCCGAGGTTAACGGTGATGGAGACTATTTCATATCCCCCTGTTCCTCGCTCCCGATGCGAGTCTTTAGGAAACAGGCTCTCAGCCAGGCAGGCTTAATATCAGGCTGCCATTATAAAGATCAATTATAACAGCTCCAAAAAAGGAGTTACAAAAACCAGTAGCAAAGTGTGCTGTCATTCCCCTGGGTAACCAAGAAAAGAAAAAAAGTCAAGCCGATTGCTTTTTAAACAATAAAGTACCAAAAAAAGTGCAAGGCATTTTACATCTTTTCTAAAGAAAATTTTTTTCCCTGCCCCCAGGAAGTCGATACGCAACTTGGTTAAATACAATTCAGACCATTTTACAGTGCAAGACACACCCTTTAACAAGCCATTTTACAAGCTTCCCCCTCCTCATCGAACCCCAAAATGCAGCCACCTCGGGGAGGGGCAGAAATCCAGCAGCTGATTAAATAGCACACGGCTCCAGCACACAACAGTTCGAGACGGGGAGCAAAACTATACTAGTTTTAAACTATGTGAAGGGAGGAGGCTCGTTAGAGCAGAATGATGCCTCGTGCCGTTGGCTCTGATGTCCCGTCTGTGTAAAGCAGCTGCCCTTGCACAAAAAGAAAAGCCCGGGTGGTTTTTAGAGGGTCCAAATCACACAACTTGGCAAGTCCTCAGAGAGAAAGCGCTCCCTACACCGCAGTGCCGCCTTCCTCTCTGCGAGGGCATCGGTTCAATATGGAAGTGCAGGGAACGGCGCCGCCTGCGGAGACTTTCTGCTGCATCTGGGCTTTCCGAGCCAGTCTCCGGTCCAAGTCCCAGTGAGCTTATCCAAAAGTCATGCAGCCCACACAAAGCCGCTGCATTCTTGCCTCCCAAGAAGCGCGTCAGGAAATCCTTGGTTGCTAAGAGCGGGCTGAGAGAGACAGGGTACGAGCAAAGATGATGAAGAGAGGGATGGAGCAGGGGAGGAAGAGACTGTTGTATGCTCCAGGTCATATGGTACGCACGGCAGATGGCTTTTCATTGCCTGCCCTGGCTTTTTCACCTTAAGGCTGATGCTGGTACTGGCTCTCTGTTGCAGTAAAGAAATCCTCCAAGACACTCTGGATGTACTCAAAGGTGGGGCGATCCTCTGGTTTGTTCTTCCAGCATCTCATCATGATGTCGTACAGCTCTTCCGGGCAGTTATCCGTGCGCGGCATACGGTACCCACGCTCCAGTGCACGGATCACGTCTGGGTTGTACATCCCTGAAAAACAAGGGGTGGGAATAGGAGGAGATGGGGGCTTTCACTTCAACATTTACATGCTGCTGAAACAGGATTGCATGACGTCCTTAGAGGACATGATCCCCCCCAGTAAGTGGTGAGCACCTAGGCAAGGGTTGAAGTTCGAGACCCTAGGTAGACGCTAAGCCAGGTGGCAAGCAGTTTTGCTTTTCAGTGAACCAGACTTGAAGCCCAAATACTTGTAACAAAGGCCTTAACTCTCCACTTGAGGAGCCTTTTATTAGGTCCTGAGTTCATTGACCTAATTGCGTCTTCCAGGGCTATGAGTTGTAAGGGTCATTTTAGGAAGCAGAACTGGCCTTTCCCCAACCGCTCTTAGGGCCTAATATCCTTCATGGACAGTTCACAGAGATAAGTTGCCCCTGTGGCTCTCAATCTTTTTAGACTCAAGATGCCCCTTATTAGACTTGAGGCCCCCTCGGAGAACGCGCTCTGTTCATTTTAACTCATTTTTTGACTAGAGAAAATGAAGAGAGCAATTCAGCTATCGCAAAGATCTCAGAATGACCACGACAGGTCAGAACGCATTTAACACCATCGATTCCTGCTTGAAATCTCTGGTTGCATGTCGTGAGACAGGGTGGCACACCACATGGTGCTAGCAGTGCATGGCACTCTGCTGCACCCTTGAAAGGGTCTCAAGGTACCCCAGTGTGCCACGGCAGCCTGGCTGAGGATCAGGGCAGAATCATTTCATACGGATGGGAAGTGCCAGAAACAGCTTAGTCTAAGCAGAGAGTTCCTGATGAGGATGATGATTTGCAACCATTGCTATCCCTTCTAAACACCCGGTCCAGCCTTCTGGCGCCAAACCAATGCATCCGTTCGTACTATTTGTAATCTATATCAGGCAGAAGCACTACGAGTTAGGCCTGAATGCAGGGCCAGGTGCCAACTCTGGTACTTTAATCCCAGTGCTTCCAACAATAGACAGAGCAGCCTTGGACAAGCCAATTGCAGGTAGCTCCTTAACCTCCACCAGGTGGGTTTGTATCCCCTCCAGGATGACATCTGGCAGATGCATGTGCATGAATAATGCATGTTGGTTGGAGCCTAGACCATTTCAGACCCTGGGTGCTTTGCCTTTCACGGCTCAGTGCAACACTGTCACCTTGACCCCTGCATGAGCATGCCGTCTTTGAGAACTGCTCCCAGCTGGCAGTTCAAAGGTCTCTTTC